AGTTGACTGAGAGTACCACATCATCCACAACGAGCGCTGTGTTGATTCCCAATGGATTCATACCACTCCCGCCGCGAGACACAGCGGTAGGTCCAATACCGAGCGGCAATTGGTAAACGTTCAAGGGAAGTTGGGGGTATAGGATTTCACAGCTTGTTCATGTTAGATAAGCTGAGCGTTCAAGAGAAGTTGGTAGTAGTATGACTTCAAGGCTTATTCATGTTAGCTTGGCTGAGCTGGAAAACGTTCATGAGAAGTTGAGGGTAGTAGAGTTTCAAGGCTTGTTCATGTTAGCTCAGCTGTTCGGCCAATTGCTTGCCCGGAATCAATTCAGAACAGATATCCCGCAATGGAATAAGCGGTTGTCTTATTCTCTTTTCTCTTGACCGCTAAAACTACGCGTGTTCCATGGGAGTGCACACTTTTCGCTTTGGAGAGCTCTGTATCCACGCATTGCAACCAATCCTCATTTTTTTGGTATAGGATTTAATAGGGATGTACCGAAGTATACTCATCGCATAAATTGTGGGGGGTGGGTAGGGGTTCGGATACGGCGATAATTAAGAAAAAACGTTGAGGCTGACCAAGAAAGCGTTGAATGAAGAACGGAATATTAACTCCTATAGGCATAGTTCAGAAACGAATGAACGCATGTATTCAGGACATACTTCCTATCAAAGATAGCAAACCCTGCACCCATCACGGGTGATAATACGTACTGAAAATGTGCTCCCACGGAGTATGTATCCTATCATGCAGCGCGTAACTGAATCTCCCGGTTGGCTGAAGAGATCGAAGCCATCCCTCCTTTCACGCGTGACAGCTACACTGGCAAGTATAACTATATACGTTAAAGGTAGACCTAGTTGCGCCAAGGCCTAGTTCTGCCAATCCAACGCCATCACGGCGGGTCACACATACTAGGCTAGCTACTGGTAGTAGTAGTGTTTGAGGTATATGTATCGACTAATAAACACAGGCTCCCCCACGGGCATAGTAGTGTATGTGTTTGGCTGCGTTTGCCAACGTTTCTCATGCACCCGTCGTTCCTTGTCATAGGCGTTTTGGTCAAACGGCTTCCCAGTGGCTATAGAGCATTGCAAGTATTTGAAATAGAACTCCCATCTCGGCCAGTAGTAATCCAGCAACAGCCCGGCCCACAGCTTAGCCGCGTAGTCCTGTAGTCCGCCGTCTGGCCCCCACATAGTGACCTGGGTGCAGGGTGCGGGGTGCGTGTGGACAAATGGAGTCAGTCACGAAGCCAGCACTGTGGGTAGTCTGCGCTCCAGTGTGTAACTGCAGGCACAGGTTGTTCGTATGTAAGAGCGAGAATTGTCTATGGCAGGCCGTGGATATGATGGTGAATTTTAGCAAGTTGTGGTTGAATTTCAGATTTGAAAGAAAAGCCAAAACTTGTAGTGAAAACTGCGTTTAAACTGCATTCGGTAAACTTGAATTTAACGGCACGCCGCCAACAACTGGAATTGCAGACGGCTCGTCCCTAGGCTTCAGCAAAATCACAACCTGAAGTACAGTCTCATCCAATGCAGGTGTGAAACATGGAACTTTCTGTTCGCATCCTATTAAGTAGACGTGAGTATTAGAGTTTGCAGTACATATCTGCAAACAAACTTGTCAGTTAAATTGAAATGTCCTTAAGTCTCTCATAGTACATCTGCACGACACGCCCTGATTCATTCCTTCAGGCTAATTCAATTGACCCGCGCGCGTGTATACATTGCCCGTTTAGGTAGGTCGCAAAACAAGTAGTAGCGGCTCTCTCCTCGTCTTCGCAAATCTTATGTAACAACCAAAGTACATTTACACACTAGTCCTATCCTTCATCTGTCAGCAGCTGACCTGATTGCGGGCGTTGAACTCGAGAAGGGCCGTCATGTTAGCATCTCCGTGACCCATTCGCCGTGCATCAGCAATCCACGGACCTACGAGTGCCGTGATAAGTGTGTGTGTGTGGATACGTTGGTGTGGAGTAATACGTATGAATCACTACGCGGGAAGTACATAGTTGATCGAATGATGCAAGTGTTGTGTTTAGTTGGGGGGAAGAGTGCCACTAAAACAGTTCGGTGCTTTGCGAAGTGTGTGGTTGAAGCCTGCATTTGGTAAGATACCTGTGCTACTCAGACTGGCATTTCCATATCAAATACAGTGGCCCTGTAACTGCCCTGATAAAGATTATTCACGTCACGGTATTTATTTATACGTTGTGGTCAACTATTAGCAAACGACTCTGCAGAAGTACTGGAAATGTAATATAATGGTCGTGGTCAGTGCTACGTAGTTATGTGTTAAATGTACATATTGTGTTGCTGCTTACATACATGAAATTTCCTGCTTGTGAGGGGATAGCAATCCATGCGAGTCTGCGACAGAGATACACAGGCGTGTAACATACCCGTATATACACTGACAGGTGTGACATCCTACACACATGCACGTGTACTTTATAGACATAGTCGAGCAACACTTCGAGTCTATTCTCTCGTCTGTAGAACAGCCACCATTCCGCACGCAAGTACCTAACATAGTCTGTCTGTCGGTGGAAAGTAAGACATGGAGATCTGAGACCAGTGTGTGCATGGCGTCTCTGTGGGCCTTGACCTTGCGCTGTCGCTCTGCCACAGACGAAGTTTTTGAATCGATGGTTCGCATGAGAGCCATGTATTCCTCTCTGTGGGATGAAGAGTCCGACAGGTGTAAGTGTATCGCACGTACATGTAGGGCAAATTGTAAGTATATATCGCTCCAGCTTATTATATGAGAATGTCTACATAACAGGTATGAGGGAAACCACAGCCAGTTCAGTTCTATTTAAGTAATCGTGGTACGCTCACATGCCTTTATCACACGTTCATACCTGAAGCTGTCAGAAAGTACCTGACGTCCGACATTGACCACATCGCTGCGATAAGTTTCAGAATGTTCTAGGATTGCATCCGATTCCTGTATGTAGACATGTATAAAAATCTATTTAGACATATATATAT